CTTCTCGCCTCTCTCGGCACTGCCTGGGCGGCGCGGCACAGACGCGGCACAGACGCTCGCAATGGCAGCCCGCTGGCGCTGGCGCTGATTGGCCACTCTGTAGCTGGGGAAAGGAGCGACATCTGCTGTTAATGTCAACATCCGCACACCGGCGAGCCAGAGCCAGAGCCAGCCCCCTCCCCCGTGCTGGCCAGGCGTGCGGCCCCCTCCACGCGCAGGGGGGTGGGCGTGACAAGGCGAGAGGCCCGAGCGCTTCAAACGGGACAGGAGGGTGGCGGAAACGCCCGGAAAAGGTGGGCAGAAAGTCCCCAAAGGGGATGAAGAGATGCCACAGGAAGAGGTGCGACATCTGGGCCGAACCGCTGCAGCGGCAGCCTCGCTCACACGGACAGAAGACAGAAGAGGACTTTCGCTGCTGCCAGAGGATCAGCTCCACTCCAAAGAGGTGGGGGGGGCAGAGACCTCCAATTTAGCTCCGGAGACCACCGGCGGGGAAGGGGCGTTCTGAGTGGGACGAGGAGAGAAACGCCCTGCCTGCTCCAACCGCGACTGGGGGAAGGGTCTGTCTGCGAAGACCGCCACACGCAAACGTACTGCTTGTCGCTGCAGAATTCTTGCCGCCGCTGGCTAAGATTGCTTTCTTTAAAAAATGGGATTAGAAAAACTCGCGCAGGAAGGACGATCATCCGCTATTAGCCATGAGAGCTGAGAGGGGATTTATCGCTGGCATTCCTGCATTGCTGCTTTCCAGAAGCAATTTGCTGAGTTTCAGCTGGCCTGTCCCAAGAAAGCCCCAAACCCTCTGCGCTCTCCACGGCCTTCCTGCCTCGCCTGCGAACTGAGCCCCTGCCCAGAAGCTCCCGCGTGGCCCAATGCCCGGGGAAGCCAGCTCGAAGTCCTCGCCCGCCTCGGCTGCCTGCTGGGCTACTGGCTGCGTCGCGTGGGCCAGAGAAGCCCCAGAGCTTCCAACACCAGCAGCAGACCAGACCTCCGCAGCGCATCCCCCAACTGTCCGCCCCCTTGCAAGTTCCTCTGGGGCTGAAATTCCAAACTGAGTCTGTTTGCGCCAAGAGGCAAACCCTCCTTCGCTCACCACCGCTGCACGTGAAACCAGAACGCTTCACGCAATTTACACTCTGGTAAGACAGCATCAGGCAGCTCAGGTTTGGCTCCCGATAAGAGAGGACCCAACATCTGTATTTCCTCCAGAGAAGAACCAGGTCCCGGGTTCCATCTGTACAGGCCGATTCCAGAGCAGAGCTAAATGAGGCACTCTTCTGAAGGCCCCAGCAACTGAAACCGTTTTTTAAAATCTGGCAAAGAGGAAGGAGACCTAGCCGATTGCAAAGAGACCAGACACAAGCCGGGCCCTCGTGCTACAAGAGTCTCTGGAATGTGCTGACCGATAGAGGGAGGCGTGGGTGTCCTCCTGTCTCCAGGGCAAGGAATTTCTGGTGCCCCAACCAGTTTAGCAACTCAGGGGCACCCATCTGCGGCCGGAAACGGGTCACCCACAGGCACAGGAAAGGTGCACAGCAAAGGCTGTGAGCGCAAGGTGAAACAGACTCTTCGTACATATGGCAACAGCCCGCGCCTCTGTGGGCCCTGGTGCGGGTGATGCCAATAAGGCAGGGGGCCAAATCATCTCAACAGAAGGAGACGGACCTTGTAAACCGGGTCAGTTTTAGCCCCACCAGTAAGTTCATCACCTGCTGGTGCTCAGTGGGTTTCGTGGGGCTAATGCCCTGGGAAGCACCAGAAGAGACCTCTCCAACCTGTGGCCCTCCAGATGCAGCTGCTTGCAAAGTGGAGAGCTGGAGGCCAGCCCAACCACCCTGGCACATGGCCTTGTTAAAGCCCTGGGGCCTTTTCCTTGGGGGGGGAGAAACTAAGAGGGGAGACGTAGAAGCGGTTCACCCAAGTGTGCAGAGCGGGGTGGGGGGAAGGTGAGAGGGTCATTCTCCCCACCACTGTAACAGAAGCGGGTGTTATCCAACAAAATGAATGCACAGGAGTTCTTTCCCAAAGAGAATTGGCTTGTGGAACTGCTTCCCACAAGACTCAGCAACGGCTGCTGCTGCTGCTGCTGCTGCTGCTGCTGCTGCT